CATATTCTTATAGTAACACCTTACTTAATGCTCACAATCAACTCTGCTAAGGTAGGTACTATTAACTACGTCCATTTTTACAGATGGGCATCCTGAGGACAGGAGGTTCAAGTGACTTGCTCAAGGTCACTAGGAAACTAGGTTTAGATTTAGGTACTCCAGTGTCAGAGCCCACATTTCTGATCATTCGTGTTTTCTTATGTTTGTCTTTGTTTTTCAAGCTTCATTTATACCCAGTAGAGACTATGTTCTTTTTTAAAAATGCATTTATTTATTATGCATACAGCATTCTGTCTGCATGTATGCCTGCACAACAGAAGAGGGCACCAGATCTCACTACAGATGGCTGTGAGCCACCATGTGGTTGCTGGGAATTGAACTCAGGACCTCTTTGAAAAGTAGCCAGTGCTTTTAACCTCTGCGCCATCCCTCCAGCCTCCCGAGACTATGTTCTTTAGAAAATTATACAAATCAAGGGAAATTCAGGAAAAAGTCAAACAGAAAAATAGGTATAAATTTGGAAGAAACTCTGGCTTAGTAATTTCTTCTCAGCAAGTTTTAGCTAAGACTGGTCTCTGTTGATCTAGCACGAACCACATGGGCTTCTTCATGCCTGTAGACATTTTCCAAGGAGGCCCAGCCAACCTCTTCTCTTGTGTGCTGTCTAGTTTATGCATTTTTTTAGATTAAAAATATTTTTAAATAGTTCAATTTTCCCACTCCTTGGGAAGCATGAGTTTCGATTTCTCATTTACTTAGTTTAATACTCCATGAAGCCTAGTATTTGTGAAGAGGGGTCATCCTGGCTCACCAGCACTTTTCACTAGAGGGCACTGTGTTGGAGTGTCTCTATTTTGTGTGTGTGTGTGTGTGTGTGTGTGTGTGTGTGTGTGTGTGTGTGTGATGGGGGGCGCACACTGTAGGCTAGTAAGAGATCCTGTCCTATTGAAAGTACACTTTGACTTTTTTATGGACCTATTGGCCACAACCTAGTTCATTTAGAAAGATTTAAATGAGAAAATAATATAATTCTAATTTTTCAGAAGAATCTGAGGACTGAGAGTCGAAAGGAAGGAGTGAATAGCTTATATCTTCAAAAATCACAAGATTCCTGAAAAAGAAACAAATGTAGGCTCTTCCTGAGCCCAAAGGCCACCTTAAGAATTCCCATGCTTCAAGAGGTCCACTGCCAAGCACTGAGCCAAACTCCTGGAATCCAGTTTCAGAGAGGGAGGAGTGATGAACAAAGGGGTCAAGACCACGCTGGGAAAATGCACAGAAACACATGACCTGAGCAAGTGGGAACTCATGAACCCCAGTCTGACAGCTGGGGAACCAATATAGGACCAAACCAGGCCCCCTGAACTTGGGTTTCAGCTAGGAGCTCTGGGCAGTCTATGGGGCCTTTGGCAGTGAAACCAGGATGTATCCTAGTGCACGAACGGACTTCGGAAGCCCATTTCCAATGGAAGGATACTCTCTTAGCCTAGATACACAGGGGAGGGCGCAGGCCCTGCCTCAAATGACTTGACAGACTTTGATGATCACTCATGGAAGGCCTCACCTTCCCTGGGGAGTGGAGGGGGGATGGGATGGGGGGTTGTAGAGGGATATGGGAGGATGGTAGGGAGATGGAACTGGGGTTGATATGTAAAATAAGATTGTTTCATATACAAACATACATACATACATATTTCCCATGCTTCAAACAAAATTGGTCTTGTAGAATGCCTAAAAATCGCTCACCTTTGGTCCTTTCTATTTGCCACTATATACCAGACCTTTAAATGTGGGCTTATTAGGGAGAGGAAGGGGCAAAGTTGGAGACCGAGGTATGTCCAAGATTCCTCAGCTCAACTACAGGATGAGGAGTGACTTTGAGGAAGTCAAGTATAACTTTGACTTTAAGGCCAAGTCTCTGCATTCCTTTCTATGTGTAACTCTCCAGGGCATTGCCTCTTCATGCCTAGCTCACCATCTCAGCTGACCTAGTGTGGAGGGCATGTTCCAAGGAGAAGAAAATATTTTTGTTTTTTGTTTTTTTAAAAGATGGGAGTCTCATGTAGCCCAGGCTGACCTTGTACTGGTTGTGTAGCTGAAGTTGTCTTTGCCTCCTCAGTTCTGGGATTATAGGCATTCATCACTGCACTTGGCTTTAGCTGACCTCTTGGTTGATCTGTCGGAAAGTCTTTTCCCTCCAAATACCCTTACACTTCGGCTATAGCTGATGTCTTCATCTTTATGAATAATGTTTAGTGTAAATTGGCTCCCCTATGTTATCAGCTTCTATCCATTTCTGCATTCAATGTGTGCCTCTGAGCTGACTCACTTGGATTTCTATTCAACAGCATTTACTGCTCTCTCACAGGCTACAATGTGTTATGTTGGCTTGTGGCAAATGCAAATGGAAATTAAGTAGTAAATAAGAGTAACATATTTTTTGAAAATTGTGTCTGACCAGCCACTTTGGAAATCAGTATGGAAATTCCTCAGGAAAATGGGAATCAGTCCACCACAAGATCCAGCAATTCCACTCTTAGGCATATACCCAAAAGAAGCACATTCATACAACAAGAACAATCTGTTCAACAATGTTCATAGCAGCATTATTTGTAATAGCCAGAACCTGGAAGCAACCTACATGCCCTTCAACTGAAGAATGGATAGAGAAAATGTGGTACATTTACACAATGGAACACTACTCAGCGGAAAAAACAATGAAATCTTGAAATTTGAAGGCAAATGGATGGAACTAGAAGAAACCATTCTGAGCGAGGCAACCCAGTTACAAAGTGACAAACATGGTATGTACTCACTCATATATGGATTTTAGACATAGAACAAAGGATTACCAGCCTACAATCCACACCACCAGAGAAGATAGGAAGCAAGGAGGACTCTAAGGGAGACATACATGGTCCCCTGGAGAAAGGGAAAGGGACAAGATCTCCTGAGCAAATTGGGAGCATTGGGGGAGGAGAGAAGGAGTTAGGAGAAAAAGAAGGGGAGAAGAGGAGGGGTGAGGAGGACATGAGGGAGCAGGAAGATTAAGTCAGGGGAGGAATAGAGGAGAGCAAAAAAAGAGATAACATAATAGAAGGAGCCATTGTAAGTTTAAAGAGCAATCTGGCACTAGGGAAATGTCCAGAGATCTACAAGGATGACACCAACTAAAATCTAAGCAATAGTGGAGAGGCTACCTTAAATGCCATTCCCCTATAATGAGATTGATGACTAACTTATATGCCATCCTATAGCCTTCATTCAGCAGCTGATGGAAGTAGAAGCAGACACCCACAGCTAAACACTGAACTGAACTGGAATCCAGTTGCAGAGGAGGAGTGATGAGCAAAGGGCTCAACACCAGGCTGGTGAAACCCACAGAAACAGCTGACCTGAACAAGGGGGAAGCTCTTGGTCCCCAGACTGATCACTGGGAAACCAGAATGGGACTGATCCAGACCCCAGGAACGTGGGGGTCAGTGAAGAGGCCTCGGAAATCTATGGGGCCTCTTGTAGTAGATGAGTACTTATCCCTAGCCTAGGAATGGACTTTGGGAGCCCATTTCACATAGAGGGATACTCCCTCAGCCTAGACACATGGGGGAGGGCCTAGGCCCTATCCCAAAGGATATGACAGACTCTGAAGACCCCCATGAAAGACCTCACTCTCCCTGGGGAGCAGAAAGGATATGGGATAGATAGGATGTTAGTTGGGGGGCAGGGGAGGGAGAGAGAACTGGGATTGACATGTAAAACAATCTTGTTTCTAATTCAAATAAAAATGGAGAAAAAATTGTGTCTGACACACAGAGGAAAACAAATAATTACTTCTTCTGTAAGTCAAAATGAAATGAGTTAAAGTGAAATAAGGATGAATTGGGGAGGGGTACAGAAAGTTCACTGCTCATGCCAGGGAAAGCCTCATAGAGGAGGTACTATTTGAGGTGGGATTGGAGGACATGTAAACAGACAGGGCTGGGGACATACATCCTGGCTGAGGTACTGTGTTATAAACAGGCAAGGAGCTTGAGAACATGTGTGGTGTCTCTGAGGAGGTTCCCACAATGCATTCTACAATCACTGGTATCGTCATGATCTCTTATTTTGATGGTTCGCTTGCACCCACTTCCCTCAGGGTGTCAGAAATGTAGCTGGACAATTCTTTTTGGAGAGTGAGGCTCTTGGGCATGGTGTCTTCTTGCCAAGGCTGTCTGAAGTAATACACAGGGAAGGTAAGCCTGGTCAGAAAGGAAACCCTATGAGGCTTCTGAAGACCTCCGGCAGTCTAATTTCTACAGAAAGAACATACTCTAATGTTACACTTAGACAATGTATCTGCCTGGCTTAGGGCCACAACTCACAGCTTTCTAGGTAGCACAGTCATCTATATTTGGGCTAATAGTGGCAGTTGTGTCCTGCATGGTGGTTCCTGAGCTGAGGGATGTGTAGGGGTCGCTACAGTGGCTTGCCATGTGTTCAAGGCATCCAAGGACGCCTTTCCAAAGTTGCTTAAGGTACTGTAGCAATTGGTAGAGGCCTTGCATCAGGGTTTCAGACACACGTTGAGTCTGCACAGAACATATAGCTGGTATGCCAGGGGGTGTTCCAGGTGTCCAAATATTGATTGATATCTTCCCAAGATGTTGGACAGTGATGCTACATCTAGGCATGAGCATCCTCCAGCTATCTTCAGTCTTCTGTAAACATGAACAACCTTCATGATTTCTTCCAGTGTGCCATAAAAATATGTTTACATGTTCTGTGATGTGTGGAAGTTTAGGAGCCATCATATCAGGGATAAGTAGGGGCAAGTGTCCATAAGCCCATCTGGGTACCAGTAATGCCCAGCAACAGAAGGCTACTCTGCTTGTGTGTTTGGACGTGGTCATTTGCAGTGCCCTGGTAAGGGATAGCCAAAAAAGGTCTAGATCTCCAGGACACCCACGCTATCACTGGTTGTAACTTCAGTTCCCAGTGGGAGAACACTGCCTGCTCACCTAGACGATAATTTCATTACCCAAAGTCTTGGGAGGTCTGCCATCACTTGTGTCGTTTTTCCGCATCTGTGTAAGAGAGGGAAATAAGGAAGCGTGTTAGCTGAAAGGAGTGGCTGGGTAAGTCCAGCCCCATGAGGTACCAGGAGAGTTAAGGAAATGGCACAGGGTGATGTCTTAGATTTCCCCTGTGCTTGGGGACATCTGGGATGGCAAGGCTCTTTGGTGAGCCCTTTGCCTTTGCTCCAGTCACCCCATTTGGGAGCCTCGGGAACTTCTTAGCCCAGAAGAGGTAAGTAGAAGGGAATAGGGGTATTTGAAATTGGTTTTGATTGTTAGGCTTCAAGCAACATTCAGGCTGCATTATTTGTTCCTAGTTCATCCTTAGTTGTTCTATTCTCCAACAATTCCATTTTCTCCCCTACATAGAGACAAGTAACTGTTGGCATCTCATCACCACCAATGTCTCATGTGGTCTAGTACTTCAGGATGCTGTGAACAACTTCCCCGTTGGCTTGAGGAGACTTGAATTTTGATGGATGGGATACACTAGGGTGGGGAGAACAAATGGAAGAAGAGAGGTAAAAAGCCACACAGGATTTACCTTCTCAGAAAGCTGCACTGAGGAGTAAATGGTGTTCACTGACTCTTCCTTGTGGGACAGCACCTGGAAAAGAGATCCTTTGCCCTCAGCGCGAGTGCAGAAGACAAACCTTAAGATTCTCCCACCCTAACTCCACTCTCTCCATCACTCACTTCTGATCCCAATTTTTCAGCATCACTTCTTGTTCCCTCCGACTTTGGATTGGGTTAGGGTAGAGACGAGGATGAGTGGGTGGCAGCTGGGCACAGCCCTGTAGCAAAAACACCTCCAAGAGCCAAGAGGAGGGTTCTGTGTAGTTTGGACTGAGTCTTGCTCAGTTGGGAGTTTGGTTTTCTGCGACTTATGTGAATCTCTAACAGCTTCTTGACAATTTAAGCTCAGGGTCAGACTAACCAGAGAAAGCTGAGTGTCTCCCTTCAGTCCTTGCAGACTCCAGAGGAACAGGCTTGTGTAGGCATGGAAAATGATCTTTAGTGGAGGTGAGGCCCAGGCAGGTAGACAAAAGGCAAAAGGTATGGATCACAGTGAATAAAGAATCTGAGAAAATAAGCTTCTGATAGACCAGCTAGTGTAGTTAAAGATTTCTATCTTTAGTTATGTAGCCTTGGGACAACTTTCCAATAACTTTGCCCTGTTGGAAATCCCATGACATCCCTCATTTCACAATAAGGACTCCTTCATTGTTTGATTCCTCTGGGGAGAGCTTCTTAGACACAAATCACATCTAACCCACAGCTCGGGGTCTTATACCATAGAGGTTGCCATGAGGAGACAATGGATTACGTTTGCTTTCATAGGGAGACCCATGGCATCATTTCTTTAGCATAGTGTTTCTTTGTGGGTTCTTCCAGATTCTTGGCTGTAGCTTCTTTTTACGAAATGGCAAATAGAGGGCAATTACTGCCCAAGACTCCTATTTTGCTGGTGGTAGTGGTAGAGTGTATTCAAGGTAGCATCGGCTCACCTTGCACTCAGGAATTTCATCATAGATTCTAGACTCTGTGAGACGATCATTTCTTGACATTTTACGGTATGTTGTTTCTCTTGAGACATCACCTGCCACAAATAAACAGAACAATAGTCTGTGAAAGGTAGGTAGGTTTTTAAGAGACTGTTTAGTCTTATTTTATCTTTCTGTGAAAAAGAAATAAAACCCAGAGGTCAACTGGCCCCTGCCCTACAGAGAAGGGTGCCTGGATCCTCAGATGGTCTTTCCATACCAAGGATTACATGTGTGATAGGACCCATCTCATTCAAATCTCACCGAAAACCCAGTGGGAATGCCTTTTCATTCCTGAAGTCCAGTTTAGCCCGAAGAGAATTTCCCCAGCCCTGTATGGAATTCAAAGATAGCTCTGGCATTGATGACCTGTCATGGCTAGTGGACTTTCCATGTCAGGGTCTCAGTTGCTTAACTTGATTGATTTTAATTATAGTCAGTGTCTTATTATCCTGATGCATAGCTGACTATAACCACAAACATTCATGAGTTAGGTAAGTATTTATTAAGATATTCATTTGTGCCAGCCTCCATAGGAGGCCTCAGAGAAACAGAGAAAGGGTACATAGATCCTTACTTTTCCTGAGATAGATGAGGCATTAATCTCAACATATCCTTTTTCTTTAGTATTAACACAATGCTTTAGGATCAAGTTGAAAAGAGATAGCTAGAATTTTGTTCCTTCTTATTACAGGACACCAAAAATATGTACAAATAATGGGTCGGATTAGAGATTATCACAGGCTTCAGTATTTCAGAGCTAGTCTGGTCTCTGCCCTAGACTTGGTGAGGCAGCCAAAGTGATCTCAATCTTATTTGTGGGTGCAAAGAATAGCCTATATGTATCTATCTGTCTCCATCTCTCGCATCTCATCTGTTTTGGTCTCTCTTTCTTACTCCTTCAGTTGCGAGAGGAAGACAGATGTTTCATTGAGCAAACTTAGAAATCACGCCAAAGGGACTATGACATTTCCCTTTTGTGAATCCATTTGAGTTATGATGCATGTCATAAAACCTTTGCCTTAGAATGCCACCTCTATTCCATACTCAGGCCTGCCAATTATACACAGAGGAACTAATGTTTACCTAGTACCTGTGTATCAGGGGCCAGGCTGACTATGGCATGTGTGTAGTCTACTCAATAAGTATATGCAGTAAGCCCTATTATTATGGATTATCCTGCAGCCGAGGCAGTGGAATCTCCCAGAGCTAAAAATAACTGGTCAAATAATAGTTGAGATGGAATTTCATCCTACATGTATTTGTCACAGTAATGAGAAAAGGCACCAATACATCAAAGGTCTACTTTGATAGGACTTGGGGAAAGTAAAAAGAGAACAGCCCCTCCCCCCAACATAGTTTGTAAGAATGAAGGGCCACCTCACTCTCAAAGTGCCGTGCGGTTGGTGGCAGCAGCTTGTCTAGTGTGAATGTGCCCATGATGTGAGGACTGACCCTGACCTCTCTTCTTTCACTCCTTTCCCCCATCCAAGCATTGCTGCTGCTCTCCAGAGCAGATTGGAGCAGAGCTACTTGCTGATGGTGCTTTTGCCTATAATTTCTGGCTCCGGGCAATACTTCCTGATCCAGAAGATCCATAGGTTACCCAGTTTTCTCCTGGATGGTGAGTCCTCTCCTTACCCATCCGACCAATTCACAAGTGTGACACTGTAAAATTTTACCTTCAAGGTTGGTTTGACTTCACCAGCTGGAGAGGTTTAACTCTTGAGTGAAAACAAATTTAACCTCCATGCACCAGAAGAGTCTCTATTCTCTTGTATTTTTGGTTGTAAGGCTAGCCTTTTAACGGCTGAGCCATTATCTCTCCAGCCTGAGGGTCTATTCTCAAGTGACACCTTAGTTTACAGGCACATCTCCATGGAGCCAGTACAGTGTGGCCAGGTATTGTCTTTGACACAAGAGTTCTGTTGCTCCCTCAAGTGGTGCATTCTGGGTAAAAACTTCACCTCTGGCAGGGCCCACATAATGGGTCTCAGGCCCATTGTTTCCTCTGACGTAGCCCTGCGATGTATGCTGAAGAAATGGTACAAATTTGAGTCACAGATTATCAAAAGAAAAAATACCTCCCCTAGTTTTACTTTGCAATAAAATTTGACCCTTAATGTCCACTCTCAGGTCAAGAATATTAACCACCTCCTGGCACATCGGGTTGTAAAACTGGGTATTACAATTAAATTTCTATTGTCATAATTTAGGTAAGGACATAGATCTCTTATATTTAAGCCTTCATGGCCTCATCACAGTGCCTCAAGATGCAAGAGGGATGTTGTATGTGTCTTACTAGATTATTTCACACTAGTCCATCTCCTTTAAAGTCAACTGTTCACCTCTGTAGGGGTGGTGGGACCTGGGATCGTGGAGCCTAAAAATGAGGCAGATTCAAGCCTCAAACAATAGCCAAATGTATCAGAGAATTTATACTCTGAGGGTTAAGAAGAGTCACCTAAGTAAAGCCTATAGTCACAAGGACAAGCCAAATGTGGAAAAACCATGTTTTTCCATAGAGGCATGTAAACACATAACAACAGCCAGTTGTAACGAATAATTTGAAGTAAACTCAGTCCTATTCACTACACCTAGGAGGAGCAAAAAACACATTCGAAGAACAATCCCGTGCTTTGAAGAAATTGGGATCACAAGACACTTGTCTTGTTTTCTTGAAGTTTTCTCAAAAACACTGAGAATTCTCCTCACATGACTCCATTCTTGGACCTTGTTCCAACACTCAACCACAGAGGACATCTTTGATCACCCTTTCTTTGTTGTACTCAAGCCCCTGCTCACCAGCCACTCCATCTAACAACTCTGCTTTCTCCCCACCTTAAGTTTTAATCCCCTCACTCCTTCTCTGCAAACAGCGCCTTTCCTTACCCTGGTCTTCTCTTTCCCTCACACAGTCTTAAGAACTTCATATAAGGAATTCAGGGAAGAATGAAAAACCGTCCTCCATTCTTTCCCCTCACAAAGTGGCTAATGGGGACCTTTGCACATTTGGATACGTATGTACACCAAGCCCTGCTAGATATTAAACAAAACCTTCAAAAACTAGACCAGGGATCTAGATTCCTTTCTTGACTTCATGAGTCCTCCAGGTCTTTAATAACCAGGAGGATCTATATATCTATATATTATCTAAATGCCTATCTAATCTAATCTATCTATCATCCTGTCTGTCTGTCTGTCTGTCTGTCTGTCTGTCTGTCTGTCTATCTATAGATTAAATAGATAGAGTGAGCCAACCTCTGAGGGTGATTCTTTCTGAAGGGCACATGGGGCTGAATATCCCAGTTATTACCTCTTCTGGGTCAGTCCATCAGCAGAACTACCATTCTCTCTGGTCCCTGTTTACTTAGCCTTCTGGTATAATCGATATCCTTCAGATTAGAAGCCTTTAAACTCCACAAGGCATTGTTGTAGGAGTATCAACCATTACCATCAATGTTGGCACCTGTCTCCACTGTGATGAGTTCCTAGCCAATAGTGATGCCTTAGTTTGTCCTTTAAATTCTCACCACTTCCTTCTCTAAAATACCACTTGAGCCTTTTTTTTCTTTATTGTTCTACAACCCTATGGCAGAATCAGGGACCTCAGTCAGTGCCCCTTGTCACCCCATCAGTTCTGATGCAGCTCTAGTAGAAAAAAAGATTTTCTACCCTTGTCAGCTAATTGGGCTGGATGATTATAGAGTGGGGGGTAGAGACAGGGCTGGAGAGATGATGACTCAGCTGTTCAAGACATGCCCCATCTCCCAGAGGACTTGAGTTTATTAGTACCCACACTGGGTGACTCACAACTGCCTGAAACTCCAACTCCAGGGAATCTGATGTTTTTTCTGGCCATTTCAGTCATGGAGGTATGCATATGTGCACACACACACACACACACACACACACACACACCATTAAACAATAAATATTTTAAAATAAAAATGTAGAGACAAAAAAAATCCCCTCCTTCAAAAGCATAAACACTCACCCTTTAATGATCAGACCCTGATGACTTGGGGACTGACCCCAGTGACATCTTATGATTAGTTCAAATGTCCAGTGTTAAGAAAGACAGCTGATATTGTAAAATTTACCACTTAACAAGATAGTGAGATGCCCAGAAATGGACCATATAAAATGTCTTGGAAGATAAGACCAAATAATTTCCTTTAACTGTTAGAAAGTAACTTAGTTCTCTTTCATGGGATATTCTATCTCTGAGACTACTTACTGCATCTCTCTTTCTCTTGTAGCACACATTTTCTTTATTAAATCTTGTGTGTGTGTGTGTGTGTGTGTGTGTGTGTGTGTGTGTGTGTGTGTGTGGTGTGCAGGCGCTATTATGGTTCCACTCCATGCTGGCTAAATAAACGACTTCACTCCCTGGAAGAAAGAAGACACATTCTCACATTTTACCTTTCAAGTCAATCCTATTCCGCCATCTCTTGTACAAATACAACAGAAACCCAAAAAATGGAATGAGAATAAGCAGAAGGAGAGCGGCAGCCAGTCCACTTGACAACACAGCACGGCGAAGGTGGAAATTTGGACTGTCTGGAAAGAGAAATTGTTGTGAGTCTTGGCTATCAGGAGACAGAGACAAGAGTCTGTGCAGGTTTGCCCACATTCATGGCCACTGTCAAGATGGGATGCCCCACGAGAGTGCCAAAGCTCTTCGATGAACAGTCTGAATCAGAGTCAACCAGGGGCTCCTCAAAAGGCTTGGGAATGATTAGCACTTCCTAGAAAGGTTGGTTTCCTCCACCAAAGCTACCTGGGTGTAGATACAGCCAGGGCTAGTGTCAGCATAGAGGAGGCATATGTATGTGAAGATAAGTCAAAGGTTAAGCCTTGAAGCTCTTCGGAGCGATCTCTGAGGCTTTCCAGAAGAGATGGATGGAGTTGGTTACCTGTGCAAAGTTGCTGGGCAGCGACAGAGTCAGAACTGTTGCTGACAGGGTTCTGGGCAGTACATGTGTAAGTCAGGTTTTGATCCTCAGGGGACTGGAAGATTTGAAGGACATTACTTCTCTCTCCCAAGGGACTCCAACTGTATGTCACATTCTTTTCTTCTTTCTCCACAGAGCACGTTAGTGTGACATTACAAGAATTGTTCAAAAATGTTATTGAACTCTGTGTAATTTTTGCTTTTCCAAGCCGACCTATGAGGAGAAAACATACAAGCCTACAGTGAGCTGAAACCAGCATCTATAAGCTCCTGAGAATCAATTGTTAACTTTTCAAAAGTTTTTATGATAGATGTTAAACATGGAATTAAAAATTAATATGACAACAAATAAATTGTACCAAAATTACTTAAAAATCATTTTTGGTGAGTTGCACATATAGCATGCTCTGTAATGACATACAAGTAAGCATTTCTTTTCAAACCCAGAAATCTTAAAATCAGCCACGGTGGGGGAGGGGGAATCAGCCATAAAAGATGTTTTTATTTTAATAAATGCTTTTCCTATATTTATTTATTTTTCTGTCACTCCCATTAAGCATTTAACAAGAACTTTTTTCTTTGCTTTTTGAGATTATAATATAATTAAATAATTTCTCCCTTCCCTTCACTCCTTCCCTATCTTTCCAGAGACCCCTCCTTTTTCAAGTTCATGGCGTGTTTTTCATTATTTGTTTGTACACATCCACATACACGGATCTATTCTTCACTTTCTCTTTTATTGGAAATAGATTTTTTTTCCTCATATAGGCTATACCCTGAGACAGTAAGGGGTGGTGAGGAAGAAATGGGAGGAGTAGAGGGAAGAGAAACTAGTCATGGCCAAAGTTTTTAAACCGCAGAAATTTGGAAATTTTGCAATTTTGGGCTTGACTTATTCTTTTGTTAATGATGCTCTGCACTTGAGAAAGCAATGGAGGAAAGGTTGCTAAAAAAAGATGAATCTTAAAAGCATATCATGTTGGTAACCATTGCATCGTCAATATAAAACAAAACGCTGTAGTGATCTAATGCCTGTAAAACATTTCTTTTTATTTCTTTCTTTCTTTCTTTCTTTCTTTCTTTCTTTCTTTCTTTCTTTTTCTTTTTTCTTTTTTTTGGCCTCAGCAAAGGAACTTATATTTAGGTATGCAGATGAATGCTATAATCCTTGCATTTGGGAGTGTGAAGCAGAAAGATTATAAATTTGAGGCTAGCCTGGGAAACCTACTACAAGCATTCAAAAACAAAACAAAACAAAACAAAACAAGACTGAATTTGAAAATGATGAGCATTGAAGGTGTGTTGGTTTGAATGACAATGGTTCCAGTGGCTCATATGTTTCAATGTTTTTCACCAGGGAATGAAACTATTTGCAACAATTAGGAGGATTAGGAGGTGTGGCCTTGTTGGAGTAGGTGGGGCTGCTTCTATTTTGCTGGGGGTTATAGATCTGTGTAAATTACTTATCTGATCTTGGTTTAACTTTGGTAAGTGGCATTCACCACAAAAATTACCTGTTTAATTTAGATCTTCCAATTTAGTGAAGCACTGGATTTCTGAGGTGTCTGTTGTTATGCTCCCCCTTTTCATTTCTGATTTTGTTAATTTGAATATTCTCACCCTGTCTTGTAGTTATTTTGGATAAATTGTCTGTCTTTTTTTTTTTTTTTTTAAAGCTTCAATAAGAATCTTTCAGGGTTTCACATTATGCACCTCAATTCTGTTCTCCTCCGGGTCCCCCCATACTTCCCCTCATTCCTGTTGCATCTCCCTCCCCCACGAAAGAAAAGAAGACAAAGTAAGCAAGCAAGCAAACAAAAAGAAGGGAAAAATAGAAGAAAAAAAACCATTAAACCAAAACAGAACAACAGCAACAAAACCCACACTGAAACAGCAAAATCTCTGCTTCTCCTTCTCTCCTGCTTCTCCATCACCTCTTCATCTGTCCTGGTGGCATTGGAGGCATTGGTGTGTCATCAGCTTGACTGGCGACTGTTCATTGCAATGAGTCATTGGTCTGGTTCAAGGTCTCCAACCATCCTCACTGGTTCTTCACTGGAGCTCTTCTGGGGTATACTCTGTCTTGGAGATATTGCTGGTATCGTTCTGCAGGACCAATCCCCTCACAAGCTCCCGCAGGACCTAGATGGGGTAGGGTCAACCCAAGGTCCTGTTGTGGGCCTGGGTATTGTTAGCCAGTCAGGTCATATCGCGCCACTGGGGCCACCCGCCTTGGGTGCAGTGGTGGAGTCATCTCCCCTACATGCATGTCCTCAGAGTAGGTTCATCCTCGCCTGTGGTGAAGGGTGGAGCCCTCCCTCCCGAGTGCAGGGGCCAGCTCTCTTGCTGCGGTGGGCAGCGAGAGGTAAGGCCAGCTCTCCCAGGGCGGTGGAGGGTGAGACTGGCTCAGTCTAGCTCTCTAATTTAATCTTACATGATTCCTAAGGCCTCCTGGGGTGACACTGGCCACAGACATCAACACAGACCTTAGCTGCAGCTGGACCATGGTCCCATACATGACCCTTGACCACTGCTTAGGCCCGGACGACAACCTGGCTCTGGGTGGAGGAAATGGCCACTCTGGTGGGAATGGTTCCGACAGCCGTGTGGTTGCCACCAAGGCCTCAGGTTTCGGCCCCAAACCTGGGCCTCTAAGTGACCATTATTGGCAATGCAGGACCCAGATCTCAGGTCAGACCCCCAGCCGTCATAGGACTATGAACCCCAACATGGTCCTTAGAGCAGCTGGGTCTGGATATCCCCATTGCCACTGAGGAACTAACTTGGCCCTTGATCTTGGGTGTCTGCACTGCCTTCCATGGTAGCAGGAACATCGGACATCAGCACAGACCCTGGCTGTAGTTGGGCCATGGACCCTGACACGGTCCTCAGCTGCAGCTCGGGCCCAGATGACACCATGTCAATGAGTAGCTGCGCAAGTCACTCAGATATGGATGCATCCTGGTCATTGGTCACCAATGCAGACTCAGGTTGCTGGTTTGACCTAGGACTTCTTCCTGGCACTTGGTGTCAACTGGAGCTAGGTATGTCAATCTGGACCCTGGCTGCTTCAGGGCCACAGACCCAGACATGGCTCTCAGCAGCAGCCTGGGCCCGGATGACACCCTGGTTCCGGATGGTACCACAGACCATCCATGTCTGTATGGCCCCTGCTGTGGCATGACTCCCCTGAATCCACCCCAGCTGCAACTCTGGCCCAGATCTGGGCCTCTGTATGGGCCCTAGTGGTAACCCATGCCACAGTGTTCAAGGCAGACCCCAGCTGCAGGTGGACCACGGACCCAGACATGGCCTCAGACATCAGCTTACCCTGGTCGACATCCTTTTTCCGAGTGTTGGCTCCAGACACTCAGATCAGAATGGCTCTGAAGGCAGCGTGGTCCCTGGACCAACAAGGCCCAGACCCTAAGCTTCACGTGGCTTTTGGTGGTACCGTGGGGACAGGGCATCAATATAGACCTCAGTTGTGGTAGGACCACTGGACAGACATGGTCCTTGGCAGCAGCCTAGGCCTGGATAAAACCAACTTTTTGTTTCATTGATTCTTTTCTTGTTTGATTGTTTTCTTTGTTTTTATTTTGCTGATTTCAGCCCTGAATTTGATCATTTCTTGCCATCTACTCCTCTTGTGTGTGATTACTTCTTTTTGTTCTAGAGCTTTCAGGTGTCCTATTAAGTTACTAGTACGATTCTTCCCCCCCTCTTTTTTTTTTTAATGTAGGCACTTAGTGCTATGAACTTGCCTCTTACATCTGCTTTCATTGTGTCCCTTAAGTTTGGATATGCTGTGTATTCATTTTCATTGAATTCTAGAGTGTCTTTAATTTCTTTCATTTCTGTCTTTTTAAAAAAGATTTATTTATTTATTTATTTATTTATTTTGAATATAACATCCTGCTTCCATTTATGTCTGCATGCCAGAAGAGGATACCAGATATCATTATAGGTAGTTGTGAGCTACCATGTGGTTGCTGGGAAATGAACTCAGGACCTCTGGAAGAGTAGTCAGTGCTCTTAACTTCTGAGCCATTTCTCCAGCCCCTTCATTTCTGTCTTGACTCATTTTCCATTCAGTAGAGAGCTGTTCAGTTTCCATGGGTTTGTAAGCTTTCTGTTGTTGTTGATAATCAGCTTCAATCTGTGCTGGTCTAATAGGCTGCATGGAGTTATTTTAGTTTTGTTGTATCTATTGGGACTTGCTTTGTGACTGAGTATGTAGTCAGTTTTGGAGAAAGTTCCATGAGTTGTAAAGAAGGTATATATCTGTTAGGTTCATTTGGCTTATAGTCTGTTAGTTGGGTGGTAGTGGTGCATGCCTTTAGTCCTAACACTTGGGAGGCAGAGGCAGGTGGGTCGCTGTGAGTTCGAGGCCAGCCTGGTTTACAGTGGGAATGCCAGGACAGGCTCCAAAACTACACAGAGAAACCCTGTCTCAAAAAAAAGTCTGTTAGTTCCAGCATTTCTCTGATGAGTTTTTGTCTGGATGACCTGTCTATTGGTGAGAGTTGGGTAGTGAGGTCTCCCACTATCAGCGTGTGAAAGTCAAACTGTGATTTAAGTTATAGTGGTGTTTCTTTTACAGATGTGAGTATCCTTGTGTTTTGGCACAAATGTTAAGAATCGCAATGCCCTCTTGGCGGATTTTTCCTTTGATGAGTATGTAGTGTCATTCCCTGTCTCTTTTAATAAGTTTTAGTTTGAAGTCTATTTTTTCAAATACTAAGATGGTTACACCAGCTCCTTTTTTAGGTCCGTTTACTTGAAATACCTTTTCCCAACCCTCTCCTTTGAGGTAATGTCTGTTTTTGATGCTGAGGTGTGTTTCTTGGATGCAGCTGAAGGATGGATCCTGTTTTCACATCCATTCTGTTAGTCTGTGTCTTTTTATTGGGGGAATTGAGTCCATTGATATTGAGAGATGTCAATGATTGTTGATTCCTGTCATTTAGCTTTTGTTGTTGCTCTTGGTGGTAGTGGGGTGTACATGTGTGTGTGCATGAAACACACACACACACACACACACACACACACACACACACACACACCCCTTATTTTGATTTTATTGCTCTAAGATTTTTTTATTCCTGGTTAACCTCCTTAGGTTGGAGTTTTCTTTCTAGCATCTTCTGTAGGGCTGGATTTGTAGATAGATATTGTTTAAATTTGGCTTCATCATGGAATATCTTATTTTATCCATTGATGGTGATTGAAACTATTGCTGGCTTTGGTGTCTGGGATGAACATCAGTGGTCTTTTAGAGTCTACAGCACATCTGTCTAGGACCTTCTGGCTTTTAAAGTCTCAGTTGAGAAGTCAGGTGTGATTGTTAATAGGTCTTCCTTTATATGTTACTTTAGTCTTTTACCCTTGAAGCTTTTCCCCAAACCACAAACATAAACTGGTCCTGGTATTTTCATAAACAGTGCAGCTAAGAAACAGTTTAGAGAAAATTTAATAGGATTCAGACTATATCTATTCTGTCCTCTGATGGTTTTGCCATCTCTGGTGTTAATTGTCCTTTTACAAAGTGGCGCATTTGGCTGTTGCTTTAGAGGTCCTCTTGTGCCTTCTTCTTCTTGGGTTTTTTTTTCTTGAATTATAGGGGAATTTGTAGCTTCTCATTGTAGATAGCTAATAAAATCATTTAATTCACAGCCACCTTCATACTTCTTTGGATTTAGCTTCTTGTTGGCTGGTGAGAAGTAGATGGTAGGAAAACCTTTGACTTCATATGGAGAAGGCACATCATTGACTGTGGCATCCGTCTTGGCTATAACAATATTTGGGTCTCTTTGCTGAGTTTCTCTCCCAGTTCTTTATATTTGGGTTCCAGATTCTTACAGTGACCACACCAAGGGACATAAAATTCAATCAGCACATCCTTGTCTTCATTATTCACTATGTCATCAAAATTTTCTGCTACCACAAACTTGACAGGCCCATCGTTGGTCTCTGGGATAGGTTCAGACTTTAGGTATCTCTTCAGGTTGCCATCAAAGTAATCCTACAGGAACCGCTCGAGAGCCTTGCTGTCCCGAGAGAACTCTTTCTGCATGACAAACTTCTCTCCTATGGCTTTGTCCTATTAGAGACTTCTTCTTCTTCTTCTTTTTTTTTTTTTTTTTTTGGCCCAATCTATTTGGGGTTCTATAAGCTTCTTGTACCGTTATAGGCATGTCCTTTAGGTCAGGAAAATTTTCTTCTATTTTGTTGAAAATATTTTTCTGGGTCTTTGAGCTGGGATTATTTTCCTTCCTATACTCCTATAATTCCTAGGTTTGGTCTTTTCATTGTGTCCCAAATTTCCTGTATTTTTTTACAACATAATATTTTTATTGATTATTTGGGAATTTTATGTCATATACACCGATCACATACATTTCCCAGTCCTCTCAGGTCCACCCTCACCCTTGTGTATCCCCCAAAAGAAGGAGAAGGAGGAGAAGGAGGAGAGGGAGAAGGGGAAGAAGAAGGAGAAGAAAGAGAGGAAGAAAAACAACAACAACAACAACAACAACAAAAAACTGCAGGCATTCCCTGCAAACATACCAGCCGAGCAGGCCAGGTGAAGTAATGGAAGACCTTCATCAGTCCCTGTTCTCCTCCAAACCCAGTCACCTAGTTTCATCCCCAGCTCTGCCTGGGGACCACCCGCTGCAGCCTTCCTTCTAACCTCCACCCACCCTCATCTCTTGTGGCTCCCACAGACCTCCTCCTCCCCTCCCTCTCCCCACATATTGCCTTATCCCAGCCCCAGAACTCCAGCAGGCACTCCCTGATAATCCATAGACCACTTCTGCTAGGGAAGCAGGTCAGCTGTCTGTAGATATTCCCCTCTCCTCTAGATCCAATCCTCCGGTCTCATCCCAGTGCCATGGCAGACTCTCAGGGTGAACTCTCTCCACTGTCTCCCCGATTCCAAGGAGATGAAATAAGCAATGGCTGATTGAACAGTCTCCCCTCCTCTCTCCTATGAATCCCTTCAGACCCCTAGCCTATCCCAGGTCCAAAGTGTCAGTTCCCAATACTAAGAAATGCATTTTACTTGAAACCCCCAGTGGCCACAACTATCAGGTCCAAAGAAAATTTCCTATCAGACAGCACATATCCATCACACTCTCTGAAAATTCAGAGAGGAAACAGAAACCAAGGAACAAAATACCCACCAAACAAAGATAAATCCCCAAATCAGCACCTAGACTTATAGTCATCCCAATCCCAGGTACCTAGATGCCAGCATCAAAACACAGTCAATAATAGGCAGAGAAATGTGTCTCCACGGTCCTGAATATTCTGGCATCTGAAGCCCAGTAAAAAGACCATATTTATCTGTTTTCAGAGAGATGTGTGTGTGTGTCTGTGTGCATGTGCGCACGCGCATGCACATTGGTGTAGCCATAGTGGTAAAAACTATACATATTTACCTATTTTTAGAGAGACTTTTTTGTGTGTATGTGTGGTGGGTATTGGTGTAGCCATAGTGGTGAGAACTACAATCTCATTTCACTTTCTCAGTAGGAACTGAGATGTTATCAGCATTAAGCTGCTAGGCAGAGAAAGCCAGATTCCGGGCTGACTGATCTCCACCCTCCAGAGCTGAGGCAAGGGACTCTTGGGATGGTACATTTAGCTACCTTGATCGTGGTATTCAGTGCTACACCTGTGATTAAGTTCTACAGGAATACGAGGGATTCCATTCATAAATAAGCACAGATAGAGCTGGAACATTCTAAGTCCGCTCTGCAGACTGCACTAGCATCAGTTTCCTGCTTTTGACTTTGCACACAGAGCTGCCGTTCTGTGAACATTTGCAGGAGGAGAGTGTTCAACCAGAACCTGCTGATTTTATCTCCTTGGAATCGGGGAGACCGTGGAGAGAGGTGACCCCAGAGGGTCTGCTATAGCACTGGAGAGAAGCCTGGTGGGTGGATCTGGAGGAACAGAACAGGGGACGTGAAGGGCACTCAGCAACTCCTTTTATGGTTTTTTTTTTAAACTTTCCTGTGTATTCTGCAATTATTTTAAAACAAGCAGCTTTTTATAGACTACTTTGCAGATGGCATCTTACTAGATTGTCCTAATAACTCTTGTGACTTGGATAGTGTGATTGTTGACATTTTATAACAAAGAAAATAAAGATCCAAGGACGAGGTCTGCTGGAAAAATAATACAGCTAAAGTCTCTGCTGGCCAGCACTAAAGTTAGACCATTAGAAGTGCTGATGTGCCTATACAATTATAAGTGTGAAAAGAGTTAGGAAACCATTTTCAGAAGTACAGATACGCTTTAGGTCAGAAATCTCCAAGGCAAAAGTAAAACCCACCCTCTGTCCTCCCATAACTTACGGTAGATATGAAGGTTATAGCGCTTTGTGGTGGTGGGGGTATTCTCTACATTTATGTTTGCAATGTAAGTTCCCTCATCTTCCATCCTCAGGTCTCTAATGACTAGGTCATAGTTCTGATCTATGACGGATATTCGTCCTTCATAAGTGGCCTGGATCACAAAAATGTCACGTGGTGCTCCTTGGAGTCCTGGTTTTACAAAAGCAACGGATGAAGCAAATGAAGAAACCCAGCCAATGTTCTTAACTTTCTGTGGCTCTTGAATATTTAAGGGGAAAGTAACCGATTCCCCAAGAATCCCATTCACCACAAGCAAATCTGCATGTCTTCCTGCTGCTTCAGGCCCTGAGGATAGAAATAGAAAACAGAAGCCATCAGACTGTTGAACCTCTTTGTGTTCCTTCTCTTTCTTGAGTATCACTGAGGAACTGCCTCACACACTGCTCATCCTGTGTTGTGAGGATTTCTTCTTTCATTCTAGGAATGTTTTTCTTCTTCTTCTTTTCTGTTTATTCCAGACTGTGTGTGTGTGTGTGTGTGTGTGTGTGTGTGTGTGTGTGTGTAGTCCTCACTGTCCTGGAACTGGTTCTGTAGACCAGGCTGGCCTTGAACTCAAAGAGATCTGTCCAACTCTGTCTCCACAGTGCTGGGGTTAAAGGTGTACAGCATGACTGCCTGGCTAACTCTAGGTATGTTTAATGTGCTGTAACAACAAAATTTATGTTGTCTGAAACAAAACTGTCCTTGAACAAATACATGTGTTCATTCATGAATGAATGAATGAAGAAATGAACTTAGCCTTACTTGCTTCAAGGGAGTCCATACAACACAAGAGTGAATTCCAATACTTAACTCATTCTGTAAGTAGCTAAACAGCCATTGTGTGTCAAAGACTCTATGTAGGTTGGGAAGATAGAAGTGAACAGAATATGATACCTCCAAAACCATCAACCTTGGAAATAATTTTGCCAGAACCTAGAATAACTCTTTGACTTTATCTTCCAAGGATAAAAGGAAAAATATAACATGTTTTTTGAATACCACAGTAAAAAACAAACAAACAAACAAACAAAAAGCAGTAACTCTCTTACTCCAGGAACTCAATCCATATTCTTCCACTACTGGGCAGAAGGAACAGAAAAGAGACACACTTGATATCTTGGACATAAGAAAGGTTTCTGGTCTTTTTCCTTGAATGCCTTCTAGCCTTCAGATTTTATGCATCTAGGTAAACATGTTTTAACACAGCAGATTTACTTACCTTGTATTCTTTAATAACCAGTAGTATTTGAGATTGGCAGGGATGATACATGAAGTATGCAATATTAGATATGACATTGAACTGACCAGTCAGAAACAGTGTTAATCATGAACAACCAGCTGGGCTGTTTTGATATGAACTAGTTATGTGTAAGCCCCCAAGACCAAGCCATGTTTTCCACATAAGTGGATTCAGATTAACCCTAAAGTTGACACAGGGCGTGGTTTCCAGAGGGTCTGTTGAGAATTCAAGTCACTAAAATGAAAGGATTTCTTAACCTGGTGGTGCTCTCACTTATGGCCACCTGTGCCCTTCAGCTCAGTAGCTACTGCGGGATCCCAGGACTGCTAGGATGAACCTCTCCCCTTTCGGGTCAGTGGAAGGTTTGCCCTCTGGAGGAATATTCTGGTGCCTTAGTTGGATGTGCAAGCCAAGCCAACACGTTTCAGGGCACTACAACAAGGAAGGGTGGAACAGAAGGAAAATAGGGACACTTACCAAGCTACCTATACACCCATGCTATTTTAGGACCCCAGGGATCATAGGATACCACTATAGTCCCGAAGGAGCCCACAAGATATAAAAGGAAACATGATGAGTGCCAAATGGGAAAGATGACAGGAAGAAAACTTACAGAGAACATAAAGTTAGGCTAATGCTGTCAGAAATCCCCAACATCAAGTGTTTCCAGATAAATTATCATACTGGGCTGATAGGGTTCACAAAGGGCACCTGGAATATCTTAGCTTGTGTCTCAGGTATAGCATGCCAGAGGCTAAACACAAAGGATCCGGAGCTTGTTTTCTGGTGCTGTGTGACTTCTAAATGCTTAACGCATTTCAAACAGAGGGCCCCAAAATTTTCATTTCTAACTGGGTCCTGCAAATGCCATAGTCAACCCTTGTCTCAGATCTCCTAAATATCTCAAGGCTTTTTAAAATCGAGGTCCTATGGCTTAACTGTCATTCTACTCTTTGGGTTTAAGTTATGTATGAGACGAGTCAGATATATGATATCTAATTCCAGCTGTATTCCATCATTATGTTCTGAAATGTGGGGGCCATTTGCTAAGGCTGAGAGCTTCTTGGTGTTAGAGCAGTTGTGCAACCACAAGTGTTTGAATGTGGTGTGGGTGTTAAGCTCTGCTCCACTCCCCACAGCCAAGTCATTCAGGAAATGATGCTGGGCTATCAAAGAGCCAGCAAGAAGGGAGGGTGATAGGTAGTTGTTGTTGCAGGGGAAATACTGCAGCTTTTTGCACCACTGATGCTGCTGCAAGAACCCAAGCTCGCTAAGAAAAAAACAAAGGAGTTTGAATAGGTGTGAACCGAATTTTCTGCTGCTTTTAAAGACACACAACTGCTCTGAGAGAGGTAGCTGTTAAGACTACAGCACATAGCTGAAAAAACACATGAGACAGGCTCCAGCCTGGGCATCTACTTCCAAACTGGGCAAACTCAATAAAGTTACAAAACCTTTCTCAGTCTATAATAGCTGTAACATTGGCCTCATCTGCTCAGTGAGCAGCAAACGATGTAATGTGAGCAGGGGAGGGGGGGCTGTGTTAAATATCAAAGTGAAACTACAGTGAATTATTCCTGGTGTTGATCATGACCAATGTACATTTTAAAGATTGCATGGCCCTTCCCTATGACTACGCAGTGATGCTGAGGCCATATTGGACCCCTACGGTGTGAGGACGTGTTGCTGTGATTGGTGTAATAAAGCTAGGCAGGAGGTATAGATGGGATTTCTGGAGAGAGAGAGGAAGAGGAGGGGGAACCTGGGCAGGCAAGACAGCCCTATAGGCCAGGGCGCTTCACCTCAGAGCACGTATCTGCTCTGTTCTCCAGCACACCTTCACCTTATGTAGGTCTTGTCTCTAACCCCTCCCACTCTAAAAGCATTGGGAGCTGGGAGAATGGAGCCTAAGAATGAGGCGGACTAAAGTCTCATGCAATAGTTAGTTAACTTTATTTAGAGCCTCAGATAATTTTTTTCTTTTCGTTTTGTTGGAGACAGGGTTTCTCTGTGTAGCTTCCGAACCTGTCCTGGAACTTGCTCTGTAGACCAGGCTGGTCTTGAACTCACAGAGACCTGCCTGCTTCTGCTGGGATTAAAGGCATGCACCACCACCACCTGGCCTCAGATCATTTTTATTCTGAGCCTTAAGCAAGATCATCATACAAGCAAAGTACACAAGTTCAAGCTATATATAATCACAAGGACAAACTGTGTCTGGATGGAGAACAACAGTAAATGCAATGGGGAATCTGAAGCAAATCCTCTCTCATTTGCTACACCTAGGAGGGGCACAAGAGTACATTCCAAGAACAATCCTGTGCTTTGGAGACTGAGATCATGGGACTCTTGTTCTGTTTTCTCACAAGCACTAATAATGCTCCTCACACAGCTTCATTCGTGGACTATGTTCCAACGCCTGACCACCAGTGTTAAAACAGCCCACTCGTGTTTTCTTTTTGTGTCAGATGACATTACTATGGTCTCAAATATGTATATTGATCTCTGTCAGTCCCCCTTCCCGAAACACTGCCTACTTTAATGCGGAGTCTTGTTTTCATCACTAATGTTTCTCCTATAACCAGTGGATGGTTTTTAAGTAGTTCTTGGGGTTGGGGGTGGGGTGGAGAATAAGCACAAATACCCTTTCTTGCTATGGGTATAATCACTGTCTCTATTTAGCAATAGAAATATGAAATAAAACAAACAACAGGAGAGGAAATCCAACAGAAAAACTAAAAACGAGGGTCAGAGAGAACTTTTCACCGGCCTTTGGGTCTTGGTCAAAGTTTAAACTGATTAATAAGAAGGGACAGTCAGCACATTGTAGCTTCCTTTACTGGGATATCTGCTTTGTTTTCAAAGAAAATCCACATAAATCTATAGAATGGGGACCTACAACATAACAACAGTGCCCTGAACTGCAGATCAAGAAACATAATCCATGCCAGGCTGTATTGCTTGTTACAACCAGTCCATTATGATCCACAGGAAGGAGAGAGACACTTATGGGTTTCAAAGGCTTTAATAAATCACCCCTTAAGTGGGGTCACTGATCAATCAGGGCTGCCGGACGAGGACTCGGGATCCTGGTTTCTCCTGACAGCACCAAGCAGGTGCACAAGCAGGGTTCATAGACACAAAAATCATAAACATTTGTTGCCAAGTTACAGATACAATTTTCACAATTAGAAGCCAAAGATTAGGGACTTTCCTTGTGTGTTCCATCAAGGTCAACTGACACAAAATGGGAGTTTCTCAGTCCAACCAATCAAATTCATTTGTTCTTTTTGTTGTTAGGAACAGCCATAATGTATTAGATAACTAAGGGACATAACAGACTATTTCTGTTACTTAAGGAGGAGGTCTGTCAGCCATTGGAAAGATCTCAGCTCCCCTAAGGCTTGGGAGCTTGAACTTCATTTTACCCTGCAGGTAAAATAGAGTCTGAAGTCAAAATGACAGTACTTCGGCCAAGGTGCTTTTGCCTGCTCCCTTCACGGCTGACTAGCTAGACATCTAAGAATGTACTGAACCAGCTAAGTTTCAGAATCCTGCCTGGGAAATGAAACTAAGCAGAGCTGTCATTTTGAGCTACTTTGAGGACTAGATTATATGACAGATCCCTCCATTTTGAGGAGAATTAAGAGACCCTCAGGAAGTCTTGTCTTGAGGAACATCCTTGGCCTGCCCCTTTCTAAGTCACTGTTGACCTGCTGTTTAAGAACATGACTTCCTGGATGTGACTGCTGGTATTATGGAATACTAGCCATCAGTCCTAGGAAAAGTTAGAACCCCTTCATGCCTCAGTTCCCTCAGTTTTACAGTGACATTAGTAATAACACTGACCTCTTAAAAGTGTCATGAGATGCTTTGCTGATGCCCATGGTAGGCCTGCCCTTTCTGAGAGACTATGGAGGAGGGGTGGAGTGAAGTGGAGGTGGGGGGCAAGTGGAGGAATGGGTGTGAGGAGAGGGGGGAAGCTGCAATGGGGATGTAAGATAAACAAATTAATGAATAAAAAAGTGTCACGAGAGCTAAAGAAGCTAATATCTGTGGGCTG